TAGGTAATCGACTACGCTGAGCATAGTAGCAAATTTTGTTTTTGTGTAGAAATTATTATAATTTCGCCTGAGGCATTGTTGTGAAAAACCGGTTTTTCACAACAATGGATAGTAAGTAAATACTGTAGGCAGGTAGTGTAAAGTCTGGATTAGTTTTAAGGCTTCCTTCGGGTCAGAAGCCTGTCTCAGCGCACGTAGGTCTGATATCTGAACCAAACTTTCAGAAATGTTGACCATGTCAAACTCTGGTAACGAAGGGCGCCAAACAAGGTTCCAAAATAGGCGTCTATCACGCACAAGAATTCTCACTCCAGATAAATGATAGAGAGCTCGGACTATTTTTGTTTTGCAGTAAACACCTATGCCTGGGAGTTGACAGAGTCCGATTTTTGAATTTCTTATTTACTGATTCCTGGTACTTAACAGAATTTCAAAGTCCGAAAAACCCTTGGAAGGCTTCTTAGGAATCCTCATTTCCATAAAAACGGAAGCATAAATTGAAAATCGAACACTATTAACTCCTAGTTACAGGTGAAAGGTCTAAAATAAAATTCAAAAGAAGTATCTCTAAAATAGTGTTTTGAGTAACTCTGGTAGTTACTCAGTAACATTTTTAATTCGATCGGTTGAAATTTTAGGACGTCGTAATGTGACCATGCCTCATTTCTATAAAAACGGAAGCATAAATTGAAAATCGAACACTGTTAACTCCTAGCTACAGGTGTTATCTACAAATCAAAAAAAGTGTTTTCTTTCTCCGATGTATCGTTATCGGGAATTTCTGTGCGTGGCGAAAGCCCTAACGCGAAAAAACAATCGTAAGAAAAACGCACAATAGGTTCGATTCAGTTAAATGCGTTTTACTTAAAAACTGTTTAAGCGTTAAATAATTTGTTGATACTTTGCTGTACGTTATCGTCCATGGTGGAAAAAAAAGCCATTTTTTTTGCTATAGGCTTTCTGAAAAACTCGCTTAAAACCTATGAAAAACCTATCCTATCTACACAAAAATTATGCGATTAGAAAGTAGACACTTTGGGCTAACCAACCATGTGCTTTTCTCAAAGTCGATGTTTCTGATGAAAATCGGCATTTCTGGCCCGGGAGGGGGGCCTTCAGAAGAACGTTAATACATATGAAAAACTTTTTAAAAAACTGCTCACTTTGAATACAGGCGGATTAGCGTTGTGTTTCAGAAATATCTCTCGAACTGTGTCTAGTTCTCGCCGATATTGAACTAATATAGCCGTAAATTGACGTATCATTTCGTGTGAAAGCACATGTCCTGTACCAATTTTTTGAAATTTTATTAACATATCAAATGCACCTTCGGCTGATCTCAGTTGTGTAAATGATGCTCGTATAAACATTTTTGCTTCTTGTTCAATAGCAGTTGAACGATGATTAAACTCATCGATTAATGATTGCCATCGTTGTTGATTCAATCGATCAAATATATCAAAATAGCATAGAGAAAATGCTTTTTTCAAATCACCAACATGTTCTAATACTTTATCAACCATTTCTTCTTCACCTGTAACAGCTTTCATGTCCGGTCCAAATATATCATAGAATTCATCTAAATCCATGGCCATTTTAATTAAATCATCACAAATTTGAGCCATATAATCCGTTTTTTCAAATAATATACGATAATCAAAATTCCATGATAATATTCCACGTTTATCCGTTTCTAATTTTAATCGTGTATTATTATAATCTTTTTTCCATTGTAATAACAATTGTTTTGCATTTTCACATCGTTCTTTGGCTTCGTTTAACGTGAAATTTGAAAATATTGTGGTTATATCAATTGTTTGTCGAACGCGATTTATTATTTCATGTGCCATTTTTTCCATAAATGGCACCATTCGTTCATCTAAAGAAAAGAAAGATATAAACAAATATCATTTACTCATTACATATATACACACACCTTTATTATAATATTTTGACATTGTCCAAATTGTTTTTAACCCTTTTGAAAATGAAAATATCAAAACAATCAACATGTACATAGATCAAAAAGACTAACCTTGCATTAAATTTGGTAATATGTTAATAACTGATTGAAATGATGAACCCATTTGTAATGTTTTTAAATGACGTTCCATAGTTAATAAGAATTTATAATTATCTTGTGCTTCTGATAAATAATTATTTAATTGTACACGTATATTATTGTAACCAGATAATGATGGACTATCAATTTCTCGTAATATATTTATTATACGAAGAACTTCCTCTTTATAAATGAATAATTGTTAGTAAATATGAAATTAATAGATGAAATATTTTGTTTCATATACCTTTTTTCATTTGTTCTAGAAGCGATGTCATTCGTATACTTCGTTCTTTCCAAAATTCTAATTCGGCTAACGGTGATGAATTTGTTACTTTTTTACTCAATTCATTGTTCAACTCCTAACATTATATAATTTATCATGACTATTGAAACAGATGAAAACGATTTAACATCAAATATACCTGATGTAAAATTGTTTCCCAATCATAGATTAAATATTCTAAATTTTCAATATACTCTTCTTCTGTCTCATCGCCAGATGTAATTAAATTTTTGTTTAATAGTTGAATGGGTACGTGTAATTGAAATTCACCTTGCATTTGTCTCAATGTACTTTGAAGTTGTAGATGAAATCGATGCAAAGCCATTTTTGGTGCATAACGACAATTTGTTTCATTGATAATATAATCATCGAATCCATACATTATTTCTTGTTGTAAAGATGATGATGATTTAATATCAAATGCTTTTATTGGTAATTGTGTAGTGGATGATATTTTACTTCTCAAATTTGATGATGAATCAGTTAATAATGTTTCACCTGTGATTTTATGATCATTTAATTGCAATAAATTTTCAAAGACAGACGATAATATATCGACTAATGAAAAGAGTGGATATTTGTTGGGTATAATACCATATATGAGATTTTCACTCATAATTATATCCGTTTCTTCTAATGTCGATGGTTGTTGTAAACGTTTCTCAGTATCTGTTCGAATAAAATAAATAAATGGTTTTGAATATAATTGTTGAGAATACTGACGATATTCACAATATAGCTGAGCTTCATCAAATAATCGTCGTTCAAAACGATACTTTTTACCATCAAATTGATTAATTGCCAATAAACGTCTTGCTTGTTGAATAATTTGAAATGTATTTTGAATCGAGTCACCACTCGATAATCGAGCATGTTCAAATACATATCCAACTAAGAATAAAAATGAGAAAAAATTAACATATGACGCAAAAGTAATGATGTAAATGTCAAGCCGTATTTCTCAGCGATGGAACGTCAGATCACTTTAAAGTTTTTTTGTTTAAAAAGCAAAGTTTTGAGAACAAATTTATCTGGCAAATAATTTTTTTATTTATCCAATTTGAATAGTACCACAACATTCTTTCGATTCACCTCAAAAAAAACTTGCAACGTAGTTGTTTTTTTCATTCTTTTCACCCTCCATTCGAAAGAGCGATAAAAACACTTCTGGTTTCTACAATTACATAATTTCAGACATATTCGGTTCTAGGGAAAATATATGTTTGATGAGAGAAACATGTTTGAAGAGAGCGAAAGTTGCAAGAGCTTTTTTGGCGACGTTTACTATTTAGATTTTTTTTACTCAAACTTAATCAGGAAAAAATCTATTCTCTATGTTTTACGAAGTTTAGACTTTGCTCTTTCCAATGGAAAAGCAATTAACTCTCCAGCACATCGGGAACATGGAGAAATAATGCTCAACATTTACATCATTACTTTTGCACCGTATATACTACAATTTGACTCAAATTGATAATCCAACAAAACTAGAACAGTTTTGTTGCTTTTAGATACAACATTTTCATCTCTGAAAAGTAATGTACCTTTGTAAATTGTGTTTTCATCAATTGTTTCATTAACATTCAAAATTAATTGTCTATCATTTTCATCATCGCTAAAATCATCAAACAGAGTCTTGTTTCCTATTTATGTTTGATTAAGGGCCTCCTACAGAAAAAAACTTTTTCGCCTTACATCCGATTTTGATAAAACTTTCCAGAAACGTTGCACACTCAAAGGTGTAATAACAACATTTTTTTTCACTCTCTATCTATTACCATTCTGAAGTTTTCTAGAGTCCAAAGCCGGAAACCACCCTTCACTGTAAATCCCTTTTTCTTAATATAGCTCAAGATAGAGATCTCGGATTGGTTTTATTCTAAAACAGACACCTAACTGCGAGAACTGATGGGATCAGCTTTCTAAATTCGGCCTTTGTTGGTTCTCTAGAGCCGCAAGATCCGAGAAAACCCTGAAAGATCCTTTCAAGTTTTCTAAAGTTCCTTTCTTCCTAAGGAACTGAGGCCTAATTAAATCTGCTCCCATCAGTCTTCGCAAAATTTTATGCTCAGTCGATTAAAAAAAAAATTCTCTCTATGATGAATCGTTAAGAAAAGGGATCTACAGTAGACAACGTTAGACAAAAAAAACTTGTTTTGAGAGAAAACGCTATGCATTCGTTGGTCGATTTTAGGGCATGTAGGAAAATGCTTGTAATTTTTTAACACAAGACCATACAGAGTTGTGCAACGTCTTATTTTGATTAAAAAAGTCAGCTCTACAAATCTACATGTTCAGAAAATGTTTACTTGCTTAAATATTCAGAAAAAACTATTATTTGAAGATCCTGGTTTTCAAGGCTTCTAGAAACTTACTCGAAACAACGAAAAATTAGTTCTAGGCCCGAAAGCGATACAAATTCTGAAAGTAGACATTCTAGGCTATCTTTCGATGTGCTTGTCTCCAAGTTAATTTTTTGATACAAAAAGATTTCACTCTCAGGAGGCCCTTAATTGTCTAGTAATGAATAACATACTCAATATCATCAAATTCCTCTTCATCAACGATTCCAACCTAGAGAATATGTAGAATTATGTTTTTTTGTAAAATGTTTTATTTTCTGTTTCATACAGACCAATCTCCAAACTTCGTTGGTTGAATCTTCTCGATGAAATACTAACGCATACGATCGTTCGTGGCCTTCAAATGTATTCAAAAATGTATCAATTATATCTTTGATTTCACCATTATTTCGTTCAAGCATATCGACAAATGTGATCCTGTCACAACCTAACATGTGACACGTTAGACGACACATCCATTCAACTCGAAAATCTCCTAACATTGTTATTTTTAAAGAGAAACCACAAAACTTATGGATGATTAAATACAAAATAGAGGAGCATGAGAATGTTAAAAAGTTTAATCAATCAATCAATGATTTATAAAAAAACAGATCATGATCATAAGTGTAACTGTTATTATAGTACGTTCGTTCAATAATTCAATTTGAGGCGCCATAGTTCATACTGGCATAAGATGACGCTTAACGAGAACTTTAATACCAAAACATATGTTTGATTTTCATTAAGAAGATTACGACATAAGTAGTGAAGTTATAATTAATTGTCGAATTAAATCTAACAGCCAACATGAACAACAACAATCGAGACATTTGTGTTCTTTCTCCTTGACTATTCGCTACATTTATCTTTGTTTATTCTAAAATAAAGTGGTCGAGTCACTCGGCTTGATTTTTTGCTTCAATACATACATTTATTTTTAAACAAAAGATGCATAAATTTTTAAATGAAAAAACTCATCATACATTCAAATTCGATAGAAAACAGAAAATACACTGTCAAATTTTTTACTTAAAATTCCTCGCCTATCAGAAACACCGATTTTCACATGAAAAGTCGATATTGGGCAAAGCGCATGGCAAGGTATCCACTCCTATTCATACTTTTTGTGTCAAAATCAAAGATTTTTGAGAATGTTGTCTTGAAAGTCTAAAATATTGATATTTCGGTGAAGTACCAAAACCAAAACGGTACGGTACCATTTTGTAGAACAAACATTTCTGGTTAAAACGAGACATCTTCCTTAATCAGTAATTATAACAGTTTACTAAGAGGTCTAACATCTGTACCACTGTATTTCAAAAGAGGATTTTTTCTGTGAAGAACGATTATCGTTAACATTTTCCCATAAAATACTGGAGAGTTCAGGTTGATCTTAAATTAATGTTAAATATCGTGGTATAATATTTGTTATTGAATAGGTAAAAAAAAGAGGAAGGGGTTACGTTTATACGCGTCGATCATTTTGTCAAGCGTTTAGAAGACTCTATATACTTTAGTACTGCAAGATAAATAGCAGAGAACTCGTCATGTTGAAAATCATCTTTTAGTAGCAGCAATTTCATGTTAATCTTAACTTTTCGTAGTATTGAATGAATGACTGACTTAGTTGTTCACAGCACGATAAGGAATGTCATTTAATTTCTCTGAGAACATGTTTTGTTTCGAGCAAGAAAAGAACTACAATTGAACAAAAAAAAAATGACAAAATAAGTTGATCAATCATAGATAGTTGTAGAAATTGATTTTGAGATTGATAAGAGCTATCGAATAAAAGAAGAACGTTCTTCGAACAATACTATTACTATCAGCACAATTTTCAGTCTTGACTGTCTACAGTCACAATAACAACGAAAATTAGTCAGAAATGTAAGTAACAACTACTGTAATTAAAATTAACTGAAATTTGGATAAACAATTAATTGTAAATCCTCATTTTTAATCTCATCCATCGTAAAACCGCTACTATCGATTGAATGAAAATGTGCATTAAGTGCATTAAATTTTTCTTCTCCCCACTGTTCATAAATATTTCTCAATAAACGTAATGACCTTTTACGATGAAATAAAAAAAGGCAGTCTTCTTCTGTATCTGGCCAACGATCATCGATATCCCCAATTTGAGTAAAATACATTGGACATCGTAATGGATTACATTCCCAATTCACGTTATGATCATATATTGTACCGTATCTTGTCTCTTTATCGCAATCCTCCAACGTTTTACCACAAAAGTAGCACCATTGTTGACTACAGTTCGGACATATCATGTGAGTGCATTGTTCATCTTTCATGCCCGATAAACCACAATTTGGACATGGTAATTTCTGTCCTTGTTCTAACGTATCATCCAAAAGTTTCTTTTCGTTCTTCAATTCTGTGCATTTAAAATGTTTACTCAACGTGATCATTTTAATTTCATATTCTTCTTCGTTATCAGGATAATCATAATTCTCTTGAAAATTTGGCAGTTCTCCTCGACATATTAGACACGAACGTTTACCACAGTCAGGATGTGGACAATACATAAAATGTATATCGTCTTTGTTTCTTATTTCAGCGTAACTACAAAAAGGACAATAAACTAATTCTTCATTTTCTTTCACAAGTTGTTTAGCCCACGAGAACGCTAACATATTTTTTTGATATAAATCAATTTGTTCAGGTTTCAATTGTCGTTCAAAAACAGATTCATTCAAAGCAACATTGCACGTGACACATTTCAACGGTATCCAAGATTGAGGTTCGAATAAAAACATTCGAACAATATTTTGTGAACAATCTACACAAAAATGATGGCCTTGAACACATTGTATACCTAAGTGATCAGCTGCAACTTCCGACTGGCATGCACCACATTCAAGAATTTTTGATTTTGTTTGTTTCTCTGAGCATGAAGTTGTACTGGTCATATTGCTCAGAACAGATGATTAGAAATTCCAATTAGTATTGACTTTATACAATTAAATCAGTTTAAAAAAGTATAGAAAGTATCCCGTGGTTGTATTGAATTTTTTCTGTTTCAAAATATCAGCTACAAAATAAATTTTATTAATAATAAGTACTACACAATGTTACATTGGATATTATCAAAAAATAAAAAAACAGAACAAGAGTAAAACATGCGTACCTCGAAAATATTTACTTATTATATTCTTTACTTGGAAAAAACATTTCAAAAAACGCATAATGGCAAATTCTTTAAAGAAACCGTTTGGCTTATACTTGAACAGAACAATAATTTAATAAATTGGAAAGACCAGCACAGGAAACTGTGTTCTATAGAATGAAATTGACAATGAAAAGTTATTTTGATTTAAACTCAAGGCAATATGATGAAATTCACCACGACTACTTTGAACCGATGCAATTATTATACACAGTAGTGAGCAGTAACATTTATCAGTTAACATTTACAGTTAACATTATCGTAAGACAGCGTTAGATACATTCGTGTTCTATGTGTACGTGAAAAGTTCTTCACAATCTAAAAATTTCGATTACATAATATACAAATTTATACAATTAACAATGCTAAAAATTTTAGTTATAAAAGCTTTCGTTACTTGGGAGATTTAGTTTACATGAATTCGCAATTCGAAACATTAGTTAAACGTTTGGAATAATAGAATTAACTCAAGAAACTGCTTTTAAACTGTAAAATTACTCAATATCCATGGATTCGTAAATGCAAACTTTGTACCGAGGGAGAAATGCAAAATACACATTCGCATTGGAACGTTAAATTTCAACTAACAGATAAATTAATCTAACATGAGATCTGATATGCAGGTATAAAAAGCTCTATAATAGCATTAAAAGACCAAAGTTTGTGATAAGTAAAACTATTCCTTTATCTTCGAATAACAGATACCTAAAAGTTTCTCAAATAAAATGTAAGCACTTGTTTTTCCGTACCGAAGTAGATCAGAGATACAGCAGATGGCCTACGATTCTGCATACACTCTAGTACGATAAGTATCTACAAAGATGATATTAGTAAACACGATAAAGTTCAAACCATCGCTAACCATTTAAAACACGTTTTAAACCATTCGATAAGGGATCACATTGAAGCTATGGAATATGTAATAGACATCGAGAATAATGTGGCATAATGATGACGTCAAACGTACCGCGTCTATCAACACGTATATCTCTCTCATGAGGATGAATTTTTACTTTAAATGGTTTACATTGTTCTAAAGCTAAATCATCTTGTGACTGTAAATTGTGTAATGACAATTTCCAAAAAATATCAATTTCATTATCACCAACCGCTTGTGAACCTATTATATTAAAGTTAAGTGTTCAACGTTCTGTCTCTTTTACGACTGAGACGAATAGCAAACGTAGCTCAATTGTATGTATTTAGCTTGTCCGATTTGGCAATATTACTCGTTCAGGTCAGATTGATATT